CTTTTCCAAGCTCCCCGTGGGATATCATGGCATCCGTATAGCTCAAAACAGTCAATTTGTTCATTGTAGAGTGCTATCTTTTTCTGAGTATTTTTATCACGTCGTTGGACGCTAACGTATCCAAGGGAGAGCACGCTGCTCTTCTGCTATTTCCTAATGGAGACAGTGTTTGAAACACTCCATGATTTCCAGTACATCTTGAGCGGGAAATTGATTAATTTCGATGATTTAATTTATTACAGAAAGGTGAAGTGCGGATACCCACCAAACCATTTATCGAAAATCATGGCTTCGATGGTATTCCTCTGCCCATTTATAGTGTAGTTCGCTGTGGTCCGTGGGGGAATCAGGCAGTATGAATGGGCCAGGGTGAAAAATCCGCTCTTCACCGCCAATTGTTGTGGCAGTAACGCGGCAACATTTGTTCGGAAACGAGTGATACGAACGACACGATACAGTCTTGTCACTTGCTCACCTTAACAACTTTTGAAGAACAGGTTTGGCACCGTGCCAACTTCATGCTGCCTGACACGCCCCACCGTCCGCAACGAACTACACTATTGTATACAGTATGTGATGTTATTAAGCTGGTAGCCAAGATTGGTAAATACTTTATTAACGGTTGACGTTTCGGCGTCGTCGCCTTCTTCGGAACCTGGAAAGTCGAAAAGCATTCAGGAAACCCTTCGTTCAAACACTATTTCAACCTACAGGAAAACTCCAGAAGGGATGTAAATCCCTTTACATCCCTTTTCCTGAATGCTTTTGACTTTCCAGGTTCCGAAGAAGGCGGCGACGCCGAAACGTCAACCGTTAATAAAGAGTATTTAACAATCTTGGCTACCAGCTTAATAACATCATACTGCATACAATAGAACCATGCCAAGATTCATCGGGTGCGTGCACTTAGATACCCGGGTGGGCGTGGCCACAGGGGCAAGGCTTCGAAATGGACCGGTGTTTCCCAAATTTGTGCCGCAATAGATATTAGACGGGAGCACCGTTTTTTTTTTTAAACAAAGGTAAATGTTCCTATTTTTTTCAAAGGTGGTGCTTATAGTAGTTGATTTCATGATCATCATACGTAAGACCTGATAACCACTTTTTCGCCTCTGCCTAATGTATACCTTTGCAAAAAGCATAAATTCCAATCTAAGTTAATTCTTCCTCTCGGAACTTCTTAGTTCAAGCAGTAGAAACCCACAGCTGTTTAATAAGAAGGAAATTATCGTCTCCAAGCTCAGGAAGAAGCGCTGAAAGCCTAATTATATCCGTCCACGTCAAGCCCTCGCCCTATTTTGGCCACGCCCACCGGGTATCTAAGTCACGTTGCCATTCGATCGAATGTCGAAGTGGACAGAAGCTACACTATATTTTGTAGAGTGCTCTTATTATAGTAACAAGGAATAACTTTGGTTCAGTGAAGCATCCCAGGCACTTGGATGTTTTCTTTTTGCGAATGGGTTTACCTTTCAAAGATCCTCTCTAGGCAAAGGTGAAAGTCCTCATCCACTGGTTTAGACTGCTTCTTCGCGTGAGTCTTATTCACTTGCGGGATCGAGAGGGGCGGGCGAAGCGATGTGTGGAGTGTGCTACAGTGAATAAAACCTTTCTGCCGTTGACCGCAGTTGTTGAAAGGCAAGTTACGCCGACGACGAAGTTGTTGGGGTGGGGGGTTGGGTATACGATGATACATGCGTAACGACATAATACAGTCTTGTCACGCTCGCTTAGTGGAGAACGGGTTCGTCACGGTGCCATACCCATCTTGCCTGAGGCATTCTTCACAGTCTGAGACTCTGAAGAAATGGCGATTCGGCGAAAAGCAAAAAATACTTGATCGGAGATCGCCAACCGCTCCCGTTCGACGAACCGCCGCGGTTCAGCGGTTGGGCGAAAAGCAATAGATAACTATCGATTTCGCGGGCTCCGCCTAGGCATTGTTCACAGTCTGCGGTCCAGCGTTTCTCTGGAACGCGGCGGTTCGGCGAAAAGCTTTCGATACGTATCGACTGGCGGTTGGGCGAAAGGGTTTTGATACGAATCGACGGGCGTTTCGCCAAACCGCGACGTTTTTCGCCTTCGACGAAACGCTAGCTCGATCGCCGTGGCGTTTTTCGCCAGCGAAATCGATACACATCTATTGCTTTTCGCCCAACCGCCGAACCGCGGCGGTTCGGCGAAACTAGCGGTTGGCGATTCTCCGATCGATGACTATTTTTTGCTTTTCTCCCAACCGCCGTTTCGTCAGGGTCGCAGACTGTGAACAATGCCTCAGAAAAACGCCAGGGTTGTCGGTCTAGCGTTTTTCGCCCAACCGCTTCGCCGAACCGCCCGTCGATACGTATCAAAACCGTTTCGCGCAACCGCCAGACTCTTCGCCCAACCGCCAATCGATACGTATCGAAAGCTTTTCGCCGAAGCGTTTCTTTCTAGAGAAACGCTGGTCGCAGACTGTGAACACTGCCTGGCACGCCTCACCGTCCGCAGCCCCTATGACGGGGTTAAATTCATGTTCTCCCATAAAATTACGAAGTTACATATAATGAACGTAGCAGTGGAGCCAACCAAACCCGCGGGATACTACCTCGGCGAGGAGGTAGTAGATGAGCAGCGCGCCTTGTGCCTCCTCTCCACTCACGCTCCTCTACCCAAATACGTTTGCACCCGTCGTTGGGCTTGTGCTCCTTATATGGATTATTAAAAACCCGATCGCATTCAGGATGACTGAGAAGGTTAAGGACGCCACCCCCGAAAACACCGAACACAAGGAGGATAAAGAGGAGTCTGTGGAGCAAGTCAGCAGATTTTTCTTAATTTTATCGTAAACATTGTGCTTTTTTTTCTTTCGGATTCCATGTTGTTATATCATTTCTATCTAACTATTCATCCAGTGTGACGAAATCATGGAGGAGGAAGGTGACACCAATGCCAAGGAGTCCCAGGAATCTGATGACTTGTTCGCCAGCCATGGAGGAGATCCTCGATCACTTGATTTGAACAGGTCAGTGATGCTCCGTATTTTCCAACAACTTAGAGGCACATGCAGGTTGAAAAACTGTGAGTTGTGCGCTGATCACTAGTGGCAATATGGTAAATAATATAAAGTGAAGAAAAGGCTAGAAAAGCGCTCGTAGTGCCCCCTCATAAGATCCCGTGCTGAACCACGCTCGGTCGCGTATAAGGTGAGGAATGGGCGCAATCAGGCGAGTTCTCCAGGGTTGGTGCCAGATCATTCTCCTGATCGCCTCACTGTCATCATTCCAAATGGAGACAGATAGCACTGTAACAACATCACCACCAGGTAGCAGTTGGAAACGAAAGTTGGGTGGGGCCGCGGTTCTGTTGTGGACGGGTCGTGCTTTCCTTAGGCATTGTTCACACTCTGCGGTCCAGCGTTTCTCTGAAACGCGGCGGTTCGGCGAAAAGCTTTCGATACATATCGACTGGCGGTTGGGCGAAAGGGTTTTGGTACGTATCGACGGGCGTTTCGCCAAACCGCGACGTTTTTCGCCTTCGACAAAACGCTAGCTCCATCGCGGTGGCGTTTTTCGCCAGCGAAATCGATACACATCTACTGCTTTTCGCCCAACCGCCCAACCGCGGCGGTTGGGCGGTTGGGCGATTCTCCGATCGATGACTATTTATTGCTTTCTCCCAACTTCCCAGCTTTCTTCCCGTTTCGTCAGGGGAGACTGTGAAAAATGCCTTACGGGTTTTTTTTGACTGCCGCGGTACATCTTTACCGCTAGGGGTGTGTCTTAAAAGGGTCTAGCAAAACATCGGCCTCGCGGCTCAGCGTTGCTGGAAAACACTGGAACGAGCGATGTGTTATAATCCTCTCGCTTCCTCGCTTGAACGGCTAGTGCCAATTAAGTTTGCTGCAGCGCCAAACCCATCCTGTTTGGCACGCCCCTTGATCCGCAGCGAACAACGAAGCACTTTCTTTGTAGAGCTTCTCATGAAATGTCGATTCTCGAGTCCCCCGAAACCTCGGTTCTCCTGTTTCCCAAAATGCCACGTGGTCGATTTGTCTGATTTAAGCAGAATAACTATATGCGAAAGAAACGCCGTATTTTATCGCATTTTAGATGCCTGCTTCTTTCGAATCTGCCATCTGTATTCCTGAACGATCCCTTTGAAGAATTCAGCAACACCATGCTTGATTGGATAGCCCAGGATTTCAAGGTTGCTCGCGACGCTATGGAGAAGGTAGCGTGATAAGTCTTTAGACTCATGTAAAAACGCCCCACTTCTAACTCAATTTTCTTGAAGAGAATGATTATTGCTCCTTTTGTGTATATGTTTTTTTTATCTTATTGTTTAGATCGTTCGCATCGGGAAACTGCAAAGTGATGCTGAGAATCAGGTACATTTTCTATGAAATACCGGGAAAGGGGGTAGTAACTGCGTCACACGACACATTGGTGACAGCAAACATTTGCTACAGTTCTAAAATACGTATGTGATACGTAAAAGTCTTTCTCAGTAGTTCTGTGTCCAGATGTTCGTGACTATTTCCATCTTATTCTGTGTCAATTTCATCATTAGTCAACAATATGACTAGCGCTTTTATCGCTGACCTACTGTCAGCTATCAGCCAAAGGAAGGATGTCTCATGTTCAGAAGCTTTGCTGCTTGAACCGAAAAAAGACAGCTCATATCTTAAGTCCCTTGGAGCACCGTATTTTTTAACGCAAAACGGTGCCAAAGCACTAAAAATTTGATAGTCTGAAGTGCCAGCTCAGCTGCACGGTGGTAAAGTGGATATTCCCAAGCACCTTTTGAATCTCGGTTTTGCCACATCTTCAGAATGCACGGCTAGCGCAGTCGTGGAGCACGTCCACTTTGTGGGTCGAGGAGATAGGTGGTGCAGCTCTTCCGCCAACTTTGACCGTTGATTACAGTAGCGCGCTGGTCATCGCAAATATGAAATTCCCTCAGAATCTCTCAAACCGAAGAGTTCTAGAAGACATCAGACCTGTCGCAATACACGGCTGAATGCTGACCTGCGACCAAAGAAGTTGAAGCCCGCCTAGGAGTGATGGATATGAAAATGTCTCCTGGACGGCTGGCATCACCTATATAGATCGCAATCGGAATGAAGACATAGCAAGAGTTTCGGTGTCTCCCGTAGCCAAAAAAGTGCGCGAATATTGCTTCCGATGATACGGTCATGTCCTGCGCGCGAATTCTGACACCATCCGAGTCTCGAGCTCCAAGTGCAAGATAAGTGACCTAAGAGACGCTCCAAACAGCGATGGCTAGGCTGTATGCGGACTTGAAGATCATAGGGATCCCTTCCGACCAGGCACTCCTTTGGCAGAAGTGGATTCACAATGAAGAGGTGCGAACGAGTTGTTCTATGCGCACACGCATTTTGTAAATTTCCTCCCACGATAGATGTTTGTTAATATGTGGTGCAGATGGAGGGTTTTTAGAGCGAGGTTTGCCTCACAGGTTAAATTCGCTGATCCCCACGAAGAGCGAACCATTCCATTACTATATGTTGTCGCATCAAATACCGCGACAGTTCTCGACAGCAACGGTTTGGTCGTACTTTTGTGCTGAAATTTGGGGGACAGCTGCTATTTTAACGGCGTTCGTTTCTGCCTTTTTGTCTCCTCTATCTATCGTTTGGTTTTCTATCTTCTTTTTTTCTCATTCAAAAGCTGAATGCGAAAAAAAACAGTAAGTGAAACAAACTGAAAATGTCCTGCTCATGCGGGCTTTAAGAGAGCGAACATCTACATCATCACATTATAGCAAAAAGAGAAAAAATAAATGAGGTGGGACCAGTCATCTTTGAAATGAAGAGGCTGTGCGGGAGAGTTACCAAAGAGGCGAGAAACAAAGATTCAAAACACATAAAAAGACTCTTCCTCATAATATATGCTATAGCGTGTAGCGCCACGCGGTATAGATGTATATCTTGTGTCGTGTCACAATAGAGACAATAGAACAACAATTTATGGAAAAGGAACTCAGCGTTACTTAACAGTGGTAAAATAAATTATTACAAAATAGATTATCCAAATGAAACTTATGCATAAGGCTTATGCGTGATAAAGAACTCAAATGTGGGGTAGAGGACGGGGTTGGGAGAAAGAAGACGTGAAGACTGACTTTTGGTGAATCCGTTCTCCTTTTAAAGATAACAATAAATGAAATAGTAAAAACGGGATGAGGAATAGAATTAGAGGAAGATAAGAGAGACAAAAGAGGAGTGAAGCTGAAAGATTGAAGAGGTAACAAGGGAGTAAATGAATGTGTCGTTGAAGCAGCAGCGATCCATTCAATTCTAGCACGATCGTCACGGTGCTATCGCGAAGTCTGTACGCTGCATGACCCAGCGCGAAGGTTGCTTACGAAATACTGAGCGAAAGTTGTGGCTTTAACCACGCTTCAACCCTGTAGTGGTACAGTAGGCAAAAAGTGACGATTGTGATGTTCTTGATCCGCGAATTCGAGACAGAAGTCACCGGGCGTGACTGTCAGTAAACCATCCATTGGTTATGTGATGCCATGCCTTCCACGTGGACCACTTTATGACAAAAATGGTCACAAGCTCTTGAGACACCCCAGTACGACCAATATGTATTTTAAGATCTCTAGTTCTGCAAAGGTTTAGTGGCTCTAACTGTCTTATAACACTTCAAACTTGCTGGTCGAAAAGGCTAGAGAGGAAGCGCTTACCTCGAAATTTTCGTTGCACTTCTTTTCATGTGGAAAGCGAGCCTCATGGCAGTTTTTTTTAATTCACCATAGTACAAGAACCGATGTTGCACATACTACTTGAGAAAATAAATCTACCATTGTAAAAGCCGAGTGCATTAGTCTCAGCTCAGCTATGACACACGAGTGCAGTTATCAGACAGACCGTCATCAGTCCGTCTGCTATTCTGGTTTCATGAGTACCGCGTGTGTACTACGACATGGTTGTAAGAGTAAGTCTCTCTTCCAGCACTGCCTTTATATGGCGAAGACTGATTGAGATGAGAAATAGTACCTGTTGTTGATACGAATTCAGCACTTGAAAGCAAGTAAGAAGGAGAAAAAAGGTGGCCTTGGTCAAATACCAGCATATCCATGAACGCTCAGTAAGTCCACTGCTTGATTGAGAATTGTAATACACATCACCGAGTCAGAGGATTGAGTTAGCATCATGCAGGTTGACAGCTCTGGGGTGAAGAGATCTTTCTAGACATAAAGAAGAACTCGAAAATGGCGGTTCGTTTTGGCGGTCGGCAATAATATATTAGCCAGTTGGAGAATAAGCCTAACTGGTGATGAAGAAATGCATAATCTGCCGAATGAAGCTAATCCTTTTCACTTCCAATTAAATTATCCGAACGCCCAGGGCGTAAGCCGCAAGCATTCAAAAGAAAGTGGTTATTGATCTTCGCCTGGCTAGCAAGGGAACCTTAGCAGGGCCATCTGGTCACTTGCAGTGAGGCACATACCGTTTTATGCATTTAAGATTGAGCTATTAGCTATTGAAACCTGTTCTCTCCATTTGCAAAACGTCTCTATCTGAACCGGATGGATATTCTTACCCGCACGCTTTTGATACAGCTGTTTTTTCACAGGGGGGATGGGTATTAGGTCTCCAGGGAAATAAAGACTCATAACCGTGGGTAGTCTGGCCCGTTGAGTGCACCAACTACAAACATTGTACGTGAAATTACCTAATTCTCATTCCGTAAGGGAGCCACTCGCAGATATGATTGACTGCGGCCTAAAGGAAGGCCTTCTTGCGCCAGGGCCCGCGCTCATTCCACATGCATTTCCACGCAGATGAGTGTGATATATGTGTTCAAGGAGCCATATTGGACTTGAGGAATTCCCACCTGAATCTGAAATCGGACCCCACTTCGGAAAAAGTGAGCCAGTAGTCTTTTGTGAACAGTGGCGGCTAATATGCTGAGCCTATCATATCTTCAGTGACTGGCTCTTGGGTGGACTTGGCTCCTGGTTCCAGGGAAAGATGACATGATTTTAGAACCGTAGTCAAATGATCCGAAATCTGGCCTTCTCTGAATAGATGTGAGTGGGGACCCATGGGCCACTTTACATTGGAAAAGAATGTCATAAAGTCTTGAGGATGATGCCAACACATGACTAGAAACAGTTTCCTTCGGGAACTTGGCTAGAGAGTAAATTCAATCCCATGGTTGTGTTTCGTTTTCCGTTTAGTTCTGTGATTACAGCTGGGGCTATACCGACAACTATTTCATTCATGATTAACGAATTATTCAAAGTTGGGCGAAAATCTCAAATGTATGGACCTTCGCTCCTAACCCAAAACCTCACTCGTTTGACTCGAAAATGAGGTACTCTTCGGTATGAAAATGGGTAACGGATACCAACATGCTTATGCATTCTTCTAAGTCACAGGACGCCCAAGTTCGTCAGCACCAGCTGTCAAGATCCCTTTATGAGGTAATAGCTGTCCGAAATAGGAGGGTCACGGTGAACCCCCCACATGGTCTTGAAGCCGTCACATGATTTCTCCTATTAATTCAAGACACATTTGTTTTGCAAGGAATAGTTAGTTCTCGTCCATTTGTTTTGCAAGGAATAGTTAGTTCTCGTCCTCATGAGGCCTTAATCTTTTGCCTAGCTTGAAACAGTGGCCGAAACGTTTGAACTAAAGGAAATGTGATTGAGCTGACAAAAAAGTTGTGCAGTTTTAAATGCCTCTATCAGAACAGCCAGACCAAAGACCTCGTTTTCTGTTATGAAATATTCAAGCAGGCGAACATTCGGTGCTTTTGAAAGGTCTCTTGCCAAAAAGCCTCGGGAAGATTGTTGACTGTTGAGTTGTCAGTTAAAATGGCCGACAGCTCTGCGCAATACCTGAAGAAGTCACCAGGAGCCCCTAGAATCGGTGGACGTTCAGGACGTGCTGACTCAATCATTGTTTGTTCTACAGTAACCTATGCCCTATTATCTTCTTCCACCAAACCTAAAACGATACGTCAACATCATGGGGGTTTGGAAGCTGTCTGAAAAAAGTCGGTTCCGCGGTCGGGGTCACACCTTTGTTCTTCGCTGGCAGGATTCAGCATCAGCTCAAGATGGTGTAGATGGCACAGAAGTGATGCAGAGGCATCTGAACCGAACATCGCTACTGTTCAGGGTTATCCATCCATTAGCCCACATCTAAAAGCAGTGTATTGTTCTGTGGCTATTCATAAAGCGAAAGCTGCTCGAAACAATTCCTAAGCTTGCGAACAATCTACTGAAGCTGCAAAGCAAGTCCTTCGTACCGTCATAGACGACTATCAGTCCCTTTGGAAGGCCTGATTCGAAGTTCAAAGAGAGATCTCGAGATTTAGCTACGCATATTTCATTTATTTATTTATGCGTACAGCGACGCGCCCAGTTAACAGCAGGTGACGAAGCAATTCAACAACACGAGGTAATAGAGAAAGACAAAAAGAAAACAAACCAATAAAAGGAAGAAAGGAAAATTTAATAAAAAGCTTGTATAGTGAAAGGAAAGCGAGAAATTAAAACAGTACTGAAACTGTGGAGGTGACAAGAAACGGAAACCTTGTAGAGACAGTCGATTGAGAAAAAGCCTCGTTGGTCAAGAGAGCAACTATGAAATGAGGAGCAATAACGTAGTGAGCAGTTTAATGGAATTTTCTGGGAGGCTGCTGTAAAGGTTTTTTTCACCATTTTTACTATGGCACCTAATTTTAATTTTTCGTGTCGTGGAGCAGTAACTTTTTATCAAACGTTGAGTCAAAATTACATTTGAATGGTTTGACCTCCCATCCCTCTCTTGCAGGGTAAGTGCCAACGTGTTGTATTACTCGTGCACAAAATGTCTGGTAATAATCTACCGATCAAGATATGTTCCATGATCTTGTGAAAGCTGAAGCAAGCATTGGGAAATATGTTCCTGGCTTTTACGATTTTTCAGTGTAATAGCTTCAGGATTGACTCACATACTCTGAAAAGCTGATTAGAAATATAAAAGTGGGGAGTATAATGCAGTCTAGGAGTATATTGCGTTATGTTTTGATTAGCCCTTCACGCATAATACCACGGCCTGATGTTTTGGCCATATCTTTGATGGGGTGATAATTTGACAGAAGACATGAGCAGAAGATGCTATGTCTTGACACATAGAGCAGCTAGCTGAGAACTGTCGATTTCAATGACACGCAATGATCTTTCTTCTGTTTGCTGCTTTAGCAGATTAAACATTTTCTTGAATAATTTGAGTGATGCATAACCCAAAGATAAACGCCTACCTGTGATCCTCTCAGAGATAGTCTCGGTTCGACGTGAATTCAGTCTATGAATACAGGGTTATGAAGTACATCTGAGAATTGAGGTTCTAGGTTATACTCTGAAAGGCAGTCACACCACGGATTTAACACACACACAAATGACTTAAAGTCCGTGTATAGTGTTCTGCGAAGGTGCTACTAAAAGAAAGCTTGATTCGAATCAAAACGTTCCCTACTCTGTGAATGAATAGAAGCGAAAGTTTTCGCGCTATAGAAAGCCGAATTTTTGTGGAAATGAATGCCACTGGTATAATCTCTTTCTAAAAAGTTCGTCCTGTCGCCATACATTGTCACCGACTAGATGGAGTTGTGTTGACTCGTATGTGAATCGTTACGATGCTTAATTCTGAAGTGCTGAATTTTTGGACGTAGGATATGATGAAACGAAAAATCGATGCTGTTAAACAGTTCCTCCGTGAACTGTGACAGTAATCGATTATTTGATTAATTTAGGATCTGGCTCTTCGTGCCATTATTTCCTTCAAATCTCGTGTGCATAAGCACCGAGTATTCGCGCAGAAGAATCTGGCTGCTGAATCGTCCATTAAGTTGGACGTGCTAGACAGCATTCCTCGTGAATTTGTTGAACTGGAAGATGATCTGGAAATGGCTGATGAAGTTGATGGGGATGAAGAAGTTGGTGAGGATCACGATGAGCATGAAACGCCGGTCAAATCGACCGAAGGTGAAGGCACCGAAGCTGCTGAAGGTGACAAGGATGAACAGAATGGAGGTAGTCATAAGTAGTTTTCAGTAATTTTCTTAGGACGTGAAGGAAAGGGTATGCACGAGTCTCCCGATCCTCGTGGCTCATGAACGAGCTCTTGTGGGTGTAGGTGGCTGTCTTGCCTGCATGGGGAACCTTGCAATCACGGTTCACTAAGTTGTTAGCACTTTGTGCTGTCCTTCGGGGTTCACTCGTAAACACATGGCGATAAATATTGTGGTCGGCTCATCATGCATGATTTTTTTTCCATATTAGTGCGAATGTCTCTTTTACGATTCAGCTGAAGATGGAGGTGAACCTAAGAAACCAAAGAAAAAAGAGTACGTCGACGAAGATTTGGAAGCTCCCTTCGAAATTAGCTGGGAAGGCGCCCCTGAATTCCAGTGGAAATGTGAGTGTTTGTCTTCTTGGTTCATAAGATGTCAACATTTGTCGCATCGATGGTTCTTATTGACCGTCCAGCTTTCTGTGTTCATTTGCAACCTCGAGACATTTTTCAGTATGTCCTACACCTTCCGACACTCGTCGACTGATTATGGAGAACGTTTTCTGGTCGGATTTGCAGAACGTCTTCATTTATCGTGTGATGTTGAAAGCGGAAACTGTCGATATCAGTTTTCCCATGCGTTTTAACATAGAGGGATCGAAGCAGATGTATGGGTTGGTAGTTTTACACGTTCATCGGTTGCATTACTGGAATCTTTCTGAACAGTGGAGCTGAGGAACAAAAGTGCTGCTTTCAAGAAAGGGGAAGTCGCGATAGCGCGCAGGTGTTAGCTTCTCACTCTCTCCACTCTAAAATGCACGGAAGGAGTAGAAGGTAGTGATACTCATAGCCCATTAACATACTCCATCGCAAATCCTGATGTGCAGCACTCGTGCTGCTATCAGCATGAGGCAGTAGAACACGCGCTCAGCGGTAGAACAAACAGGAGAGGGCGCAGGCGAATTGCGCCTCTAGCTATGGGTAGGTGTGTGGCTGGCTGTACGCTGCCTCACGGTACATGCCTAGCTACAGTCAAAGCGTCACTTGTCTAGGCCCTTTTGGTTAGGGAGCGTTCAGACTTCGCGACGGCAACGCTTCGGTCGCGCGTTCGACGCGATCGATGCAGTTGAAAGCATGCGCATCGATCGCGTCGAACGCGCGACCGAAGCGCTGCCGTCGCGAAGTCTGAACGCTGCCTTAGTTTTCGCCGCTGAGAGCGCGTTCGCTCTTGCTATCGACACAAGTGCTGCACATTGATGGCGGAGTATGGAGATAGTATCCGGGTATCGCTACACTCCAGCCCCGTTTCGTACACTTATGATCAGGTAAGTGGTACACTTATGACCAGTTAAGTGGCACGCTACTGCAGCTGCTAACGCATTCATCATAGCAAGTGCCAGGATCCACAGAGGTGTTGGTACAGTTTTTTTTTCTTGAACGGAGCTGTGCTACACTAGGGCCCATTTTTTATTGCCTATTTCCTGGCTGTAACATGGAACATGGAAGTGGGAAGGGGTCATTTGTTTTGAAGGAAGCTGAAATTTGAACAATAGATTAGAAAGCGATTTCCTAAGGCAGCTAGCTATTTACTGAACCACGTGAGCCGCTATCATACAAACTTAGAGCACTTGGTATACACTGTACATGCTCCTAGACAGGCTCGCATATTAAGTTCGATTCAGGAAAGTGACAATGACGTTCCAATGGAGTATGCAAATTATGCACGAGGCTATGCGCCACCTTATCTACGTGCGTTGTCCTCTCGGTCGTCGAATCAAGATCTTTCTTCCACAGAGTACGTTTCATAAATTGGTTTTCTTTCGCTTTCCTGGTATCAACTGTATTTTTTATTGTTGTTCCTAAAGCACGCATTCAAGCATTTTCTTCTCGATCTGTTCGCACTTCAGCAACGACTGCAATGAAACTGAAGGAGGAGTTCGAAGGAAAACTCGGGCGCACTATTCAACCGACTAAAAGAATGCATCAGCTGATTGTGAAAGTCCTTCCAGAAAACTACGAGGTTTGTTACTCTGAGATGTGAACAGTTCCTGTTTATTCTGGACGCCTGCTTTGTCAAGAGTTCTTACGGCGCCTATCATGAGTTTGGATGCATTACTGATACTGTTTTTCAGCTCACATTGGAAACTGCTAAAGAGATGTTTGCTCCCCTTGAACCAGTTGCAGTCGAGAATGTTAAGGATGACGCTGAGTGAGTATTTGGTTTGGTGACAGAATTGCTTCCTCTTTACTAATGCTAACATTCTAGGTCTGCTAGACCGATCTATAGCTCAGGAAAAGTTGAAATTTCTGTTTTCTAGGCAACCTTGCGCAGTAGTTACAATGGCGAGCGCTGAGGACGCTATCAAGGCGCATTCATCCACTTATTTTGTGACAGTGAAAAGAGAGGGCGAAAAAGACGTGAGATGTCATGTGTTCCTTCGTGGAGGTGCGATAAATTTCCATTTCTCTGAACTGTTCGCAAAATTCATCCTTTTATTAGTTGAGGCACATTTCGGATCGTTGCTGACTCGTTGGGACAAAAAGAAGGGCGACACCACAAAAAAGTCTAGTAAGTTTCAATTATAAGTGCTATGTACCGTGTACATCGTGTGCTTGTCATTTACAGCGAAGCGCGCTGCTGCAGAGAAGTCTGGTTCGAGTTCGGCAAAGAGGCCTCGTGGTTCTTCTATACGTGGTGTCGGTCCGCGAGGCTCTGCTCGTGGTTCTTCCCGTGGACGACCACCTTTCACGGGAAGAGGTGGCAGAGGTCAGCAAGAATTTCATTAATGATGTACACCCAAGGCACTCAGTCTTCGCCTTGCAACTTACTACTACTGCCTACACTGAGTTTTGTATCTCTTCTCTAACCATCTCATTTCGAGAGAAGATAGAGATTTCTAAAAAAATCCCTTCAAAAAATCCTTTTCGTCGCCATTCAGAATTTTGGCTCGTCACTCGAGTCGAGCCAACTTTCTCTGTTTTTTTTTTCGAGCGACGGGGGAAAACATTATCTGTCAGTTTGGTTTCTGACCTGCTCATTTGGACCATTTTCAAAAAAAGGAGGGAGCTTTGGGGTAGTAGGGGCTTTCAATAGTGAGAGGAGCTGCCCGCTACGCCCTAAAAAGCGAAACTTTTTTGAGAAAAGATCAAAACCCCCAACAGAGACGAAGTTGAACGTGTTCAGAGGGGCGGTTTAGTGTTCCAATGTATAAATACATATCTATGAGTACAATCCTTTGGTGAAGAATGATTGCAAAAAAAATAATGGAAATTTGATATCTGCAATGATTTCCCTGAAATGGGCTCAGTCATGACAGTATGGCTGAATCTTTTAGTTAGTGTGTAAGTGCGAAATGAGAAGAGTGCAAGCAGTCACAGAAGCAGAAATTAAAAAGGATTCTTTCAAATCCACCGCGCTAAAAAGTGGGCGAGGTTTTGGAAATGGGCTGCGGCAATGCCTTGCGTTGCCTATTTAATCAAGAGCCCGATTAAGGGTGTCCGATTCGGTTTGAAAGGTGTCTGATTGATCTGAAAAATGTCAGGTTTGGTTTGAAAGTGTTCGATATATGAAAACGTATATACCAAAACTGCTCTGCAGGAGGGGGCTTCATGTATTTCCGTCAATGTGTTGAGCCACCTTAAAAATCCCCATAGGCTCTTAAAGCTTCGAAGTTCATTTCGATGCAATTTCGTCATTGTTTCTTCTTGTACTGGAAGTATTCAGTGTCGAAGGCGCGAAGAAAGGACCAGGACCATGAAGGTTTTTGCCCAAACCTTTGGAGGAAATGGGTGCGCGCTATGTGTGAACCAATTCCTTCGTTGAGAAAGGTGGTCGCAATCGTTTCTTAACGAGAAAGCGTTCTTTGACTGCAGTTTATAGCCTCAAGGATATATTAATATAGCATGCAATATGGAGCTAGTAGTATAGGTTGGAAGGAAAGTCCTGTCAGTGTTTTTTGAAAAGCTTACAGTTTTTGATTCTCGATGCTCGTACATGACGTAACATGCTATGCTTGTAGGACACTCTGGGAGCTTTCCTGCAAGAGGCGTGTGAGGGCGCCTGCTCTTCCCTGGGTTTAATTACGATGTCAGTTTCACAGGAGTATCTTCGGGTCATCATCTTCTATCAGTGGCCCCGCGGCACTGGAGCCACGGCAGCTGTCCGTAACATCAACAGTGCATTGAGGGAGGACACCACTACCGTCAGGATCGTTCACTTTTAGTTCGCTCGCTTCGCGAAAAGAGAGGCCCCAAGGACAATATGACTATACCATTCTCGAAGCAGACAAGGGGGATCCAGAGGCTACACCCGCAGTCTTGCGACAAGACTCGGATGTACCTAACTGACAGTCGTCCACCGCCTGTAAGCCTTTGACTACCAAGAAGTACTGGCTTGATGGATCATTCATACCTTGACCGATGGCACGCTGTGCACCCGGGTACCCCTTGGTCAGTCTCCCCTTCTCTGCCCTCGTCAGAAAGTTTCCGGGAGACTGCTTAGTGGGGATGAGAGATGGGTCCTCTATGATTTCAACCCACACAGTACCGTTTGTCTCTCTCAAGGAGAAGATCCATTCTAGCAGTCCAAACCGGGCATGTATTCCGAAAAGGTTCTCCTGTGCTGCTCCTGGGACGCGAGGAGGTGCTGCAGAACGAGCTGCCCCATAAGAACAGACGATCACCGCCACCATTTGTGTCGCTCAGCTCCTGAAACCGGTGGAAGTTGTTGGAGAAAAATGACCGAGACTAGCTTCGGGTCACCTCGTTCGTAGTACACGAGACCCCATACCTGCTATGAAGACCTACCAAATAATTGAGGAGCAAGGCTGGAAGACCAGTCCCCGCTCATAATATTCTCCTGACGTAGTCCCCTACGACTGCTACCTGCTCCGCCTCCTTAAGGCTTTCTTAGCTAAAAAACTTTCAGCAATTTTGATGACATAGTCGAGAGGGCGCTGACTTACTCTATTCGCAGCACTCCATTTCCGGAAAAGGAGGGGAATGCTTACCTGTCCACTGTGGTGGAGCGCGTAGTGGCTAACTATGACGAGTATATTGTTGACTAATTCCCACTGTATATTGAGTTAGAAATAAAAAAGAGAAAGTCACAACAGTGACAAGACTTTCCTTCCAACCTATATTTCGTAGTTTTAGAAAATGCACAGGTACATTGACGAAAGTTAACGAACTTTCCCTCTCATTCGACCACCACCCAATTTTGCGTTTATTAATATCTTTTTCCATGAAGTTGATCCTTTTTTGCAAAGAGAAGTTATAGTCCCAATTATGTCTACAATAAATACAGATTTTATTAAAACTGTAACTGTAGAATCTATGAAAATTTTTTCAAGGATCCTATGAGTTTCGGACAGAAGTCCAAAAATGATTCTGCATTGCCCTTCTAGTATGTTGTGCATTATCATGTACTCTGGAACTGTTTGACAAGAATTATTCTCTAGGCCGACCACGTGGCGATTACGGCTTCTCGTATGGCGGTCCAATGCCGTACGGATCACGATTTGAAGCAGAAGCAAGGATGCGGGCACAACAGGAAATCGAGATACAGCAGAGAATGCTCAGGGAACAAGAAATGTTAGAGTTGGTGTTCCATTTCCTCCGCTGAATTAGTATTCAATGGAGTCTAGGGAATAATAGAGTGTCTCGCGTTTTCAAAAACTGCGTTGATCACAATGTATGAGCTTTATTTTCGTTCAATTCATGTAGTTCATGGTTGCCCTAATTAAGGATGGCTGCAAAACTGCGTGAGCAAGAACGTTATGGTTTTGGAAGACCATCCAGCGGTAAGTCGCTCCACAATCTTCACTGGCTTTCATCCTTAGGCTTTTTGTGTGATGTCCCAAAGTTTGTTCAGAAGACGTGTAAGTCGGGGTATGAGCCAGTCTTTGAACAAGACAGTGCTGTGATCCTCTCAGACGAATCTTATACTGACTTTTTCCCTCCCCGTAGGTAAGAGGCCTTGCTTGGCCTTCTTACCTTCGGGGAGGGAAAAATCAGTATCAGATTCGTCTGGGAGGATCAGAGCACTGGCGGGAGTCGACCCGGAATTGGAACCCACGACCGCGCGGGTGGTAAGCGCGACACTTGTCACTACACCACCTGCGCCTTCATCATAAGAATGCTGGGTCTTATGCAAATAGGCAGAAGACTGGAACCTAGCCACAAAAAAGGAATTCCGAGATGACCTTTTGAGGTTAGTGTGCTAACCACTGGCTGCTTAAGTATCCTTGTGAAAGCTCCGCATGGCGAACCACTGTCTTGAACAGCAGTGGTTACAAAAGTTTGAATCTATCAGGGAACGTAGTTTTGGTGGCAATATTTGCTGACTGGCACCCTAGAAGTAGGTAGTCTAATGGGGCTGTTAACACATGGTTATAGACGTTTTATACCGATGAGCTTTTTTCAAGTTTGATGCTGTCTTTTTTTTCAGGTTCCTTCTTTGGAAGCGGCTACGGCGGCTATGAGTGAGTTTTATTTGATAGAAAAACCTGAATTATTCGCTTCACTCATATGGATAAAATAAGCTTGGCATTGTTCGCTGTTTTACGATAGACGGACATTAAACTGGTTCGCGTCCAAAGAGCTAGAGGATTTTCTATCAGTACATGAGGTCACAACAATGTATTGTGAATGCCAGCGATTGTTGAGCTTCTAGTTGGCTGGCAGGCGCGCGTTTCATGCCTCAGAAAGGGCCTCTATACAGCTAGTTCTAGGTAAGCTAAGTTCTATATGTTTTCTGCGTCCAGTCAGCAAGAAAGCATGACTTGTTTCTACATGCTCGGTGGTTGTTGTAACATGATGTGGCTTCGTCGCGTCATGAAGTGGCCAAGTCTGAGTGGCTAAAGACCCTCCTGAGGTACACGGCGTCGGTTGGCGGTTAACATTAGAAAGGTTCAATTCCTTATTTTCTAGCCTCTCTCTGGGCATCAGCGTTTCACACGCACCGCCTGACTTCTGGCTGAATCCGCTGCCGCGTGTTCTGGGTGTGATAGCTGATAGGAGGTCACAGAACTCCTAAAATTTATTTTTGTGCAATGTAAGCGTTCGCGATGAGATATTGTGTTGAAGTAGACGTGAATCGCCTAATTCTAAGAGGGCTATTTTTGATTAATCTTCTGAATACTGGTAGGACGTGATCATTCTGGCGTCGTCATTGACGGGAGACCTAACGTTGACTAACTGGTACCGGTTTCATATATTAATTCGCAAGGGAACAGTTCTCAATCATGAAAGGGTCATCCAGAGAGCAATTACGTAGTCATATGTGCAGTATCAAATAGGACGGGAAAGCGGTGCAACGGTTCGAGGCAAATTGGCCTGTAGAGTTCAGAAATTGTTACGCATATAAGTGGCTGAAAGAAGTTTCGCGTGGGATATCCCCCTCCTTACTAATACGAGCCTCTGCATTTGCCAAAGAGGAGGTGATATTTCAGCCCGGAATAATTGGTGAGAGGAAATAAATAACAAATAAAAGGAAATAAAACTGAAACAGAATTAGCAGCAGGATGCTATATATTGGGGAAATTGGCGAAAATAAGGAAGTGAATGGCCGAAAACCTGCGAAAAAAACTCCGTCCAGCGCGGCATTTGTCGATCAATTTTGGGAGAGTTTCCCGTTGGTATCGCACCAACTTTGGTAGGCATGGCTGCACGTTTATTCATATATCCATATGGCAACGCTCATATGAACTGAACTTTATAAATGAAGCAATAAGAGCACCATTTCTTTAGCGATGAGACAGTACGGGCAGTCGTGGGCGGGCGGGTGCTGTGGGCGTCTGCTAAAAGTACGTACCCTGCGCACTTTATGGATTCATCGTACCACTTGCCTCTGAGAAGAAGTTTATTTTGAGGGCTGCACGATGGGTCTATTTAATTTAGTAGCATGCACTTGAGGAAGAATTCAAAAAAAGGAAGGGAGAAGATTTTTGTCGACGCTGTTGAAAAACGGTGCTATGCAAATTCAAATTCTGTATGGCTAAAGTATCTGTAGTAAATGCTCATTTTCACCAGTATATTTTTTTTATTATGTGTGTTTCAGCCGCCGTCGTTATTGAGAGAATGACGGCGCGGAGTGCCGATATCATTGAGGGCAAGCGTATGCGAGGTCATGACCCAATGCTGGTTAGTCGAGCAGTGGCGCCACTGTGTGTGTGGCTAAGTTTCATCTGATACTCTTAATTAATACCTGTTGGTTTCTTGTTCCCATTGCTAAACCATACTGTGAATTCCCCCGCTGTTGAGGTTCAATTTGAATTTTCATTTTTGCCAAATGATATTTCGCCGCAGTCATTTGGTGTCGTTTTTCTTGTTAAGTGTGACTTGTTGTTTGTTAATTAGTGTTTGTGTGCTGTAGCATACATACCTCTTTTCAATTATTATCGTTCATTATCTCATTTTTGTGTCGGCGTTTCTCCTCTACATTAGCCATGTGTACGTGTTGTGCTGAAGCATTCTGGACGTTGTCGTATTGATGTGGTTGACAGAACTGAAGAAACTTCCGTCACAGAAAGTAGTCATCTCAGCTTTTCCTAATATTATTATCAAATATTCAGACAAAAGTCTCCTTTCGTTGGAAGCGTTTTCTTCTGAATAATAAATTGTCCTGTGTTTCAAATGTTAATGCTTCAGAGCATTCATCGGTACATGCATTTCCATCTAGGTTCGAGCCAAACTTGGCTTTCATGTGGTTTACAGAGCATCTGAGCTCATTCGCCAACGGGGGTGTTTGAGGCAGTGCTTATCATCGCCTTGCGGAGAAACTTCTGCCGTGGAGGGAAAACTGTTTTTTAATGAAAAGGGTTGTCCGGAGTGCCCCTACCGATTTCTAAGGTGGACTAGCAACAAGAGTTTCCAAGAAAACATCAGCATACTAGATGAAATATTTTCTGTTTATAAGGGGATTGCTATCTTCACGTAATTTTCGTCATCAGCTCACAAAAAGCTTCGGGATCGGGGCCAAAAAACCTATGTGCGTGCGATTAGTAGTCCTGCAACGAGTTGTACTATTAGGTTGTCCGGAAAGTTCTCAGCGTTTTGAGTGTTTCACTTTAAACGATCATAACTTTTTAATACTCATCGGATTTAATCGAAATAAGCACCGTTCGAATCAGCACACTTTTGCCAATGTGACACCAGTCGATAAATCCCATCAAAGAAAAAACTGGGTGGTCGAGAATCCACGAAATCTTTTTTGCCTGGTCCTGATTGATGAAGTATTTTCCAGCAAGGAAGTTCTGAAAATGTTTGAAAAGGATAGTCGGGTTGGTGAAAGGTCTGGAGAATATGGCGGTGAGGTAGAACTTCAACCCCCAATTCGTTCAATTTATGGATAGTGATTTGTGAAACGTGTGGGCGGGCGTTGTCATGCAAAAGAATCGGACCCTTTCTGTTGACAAGTGCTGGCTGCAGCTGACGCAATTTTCGGTACATTTCTTCACAGTAGGACTCTGCTGTGATGGTTTGGCCTGGTGACAAAAAGTTATAGTGGATCACACCAGCCGATGAACCACACACTGTGACCATAATCTTTTTTTCGTGAGGATTCGGCTTTGGAAATTGCCTCGGTGGTTCGTCGGCATCCAACCACTGTCCGAAACGTCTCCTGTTATCATACATGATCCACTTTTCATCACAGGTGACAATTCGGTCCAAAAACGGGTCGTTTCTGTTGCGCAAAAGCAGTGAAGAAGAAACCTCGAGACGTGCCAATTTCTGCCGGTCACTCAAATTGTGGGGCACCCACTTGTCGAGTTTTTTCACCTTCCCAATGCGTTTCAGACCATCTGCAACACTGGATTTGCCAACGCCTAGCTTTTCTGCAATCTCTCGAACTGTTTGGGATGGGTCAAGTCTCCCAAATATTGCTTTTAGGTCGACCGCTACGAGGTTCATCTTCAAGGCTGAAATCTCCAGAACGAAATTTGTCGAACCATTGTCGCACGGTGCTTTCTCCAACACTATTGGGCCCCCACACCTGGTTAATTTGTCGAGCTGTCTCGACTGCGGATTGACCCAATTTGTAGTTGAAGAAAAATATCGTCCGAAGTTGCTCTTTTGACATGCTTCAAAAAGTCTTGGGAAAAGGGGGTTTATCAAGCAATGGTGAAACGGCAATTATACCATCAGATAGCGCAAAAAATTCTCTTCAGGATGTACTACTGAGACGCAAGGGAGAATGAGTTTTTAATCAGCAATGAATGTACAAAAAATAGTAACACAAAACGCTGAGAACTTTCCGGACAACCTGATACTTCAAAGTATCCTATTGAGTAGGATTTATAGGTATTCTCAGGGCTGGATCCTTTGTTACACTCCATGTCCCAGAGATGGAGGGGCGTGTCTGCTTGGATGTGGTGAATACTGCGATTTTGATAGTGTTGCTGTTTTGGAGCAACTGCAGTCTTGCCTTTGTCCGGAACAACGCGGTATGAGAGTCGCTTCAAGAGTAAATGTCTCACGAAAAACGCATCGTGCGCCAGGTCCACGTGAGCACGTGGCCACGCCAAATCTCGATATGGAGTGTATGTGGGGGCAGCTTATAGTGAACAACACTTTCAATTTTATTATAACTCGTATTCCATAATTTCCCTTTGTTTATCCATAGAGGGCTCAAAATGACAGGTGAGAAGGGAGACATGACGAGAACGTAAATATATGGCGTTTGAATAAGGAGTAATAAGAATTAAGGGGCGTTGGACGGAAGCACCTCGGAACTCATAGCTCGCGTCACTGCAGGAGTGGGATGTTGCTTCCTAGGAGTGATGTATGGGATACGACGGGGACGTGATGATTGGTGGCAGGAAGTGATTCTGACTAATAAGGGCTGATAAAAGAAAAGAAACATATAATAGAATGAGGTGATGTCGTAGCGAGCGGCATGTTTACCGCGCGCGCGGACAAGGAAAGCTCTGATAGGCTCCCGTTTTGGGCAACCGAGCACGGGAGCCTATCCGAGCTCTGTAGCTCAGAGGATGGTAAACTGATTCGTCCGAGAGGGTGAGAGCACTGACTTGTAGACCGAGTGGCTTCGGAAAGTCATTGTGTAGGCCACATCGCATTCAATCAGCCGCTACGATTCTGAATGGAAGTAGAATGAGTGCCGCATCCTAAAAAGATTAAGACTTTATCCTTTACTTGAATAGGGTGAAGGTACTGAAATCCCTATTAACTACTACTAGGGTATTCCAAGAAAACGTATAAGTGGAGGAGGTCATCTCCACTTATACGGTCCATAGATAGGTTCACTTCTATGAAGCAGCTGTTCTGTTCAAGCAGATTGAAATTGAATTACAATAATTAATAAATTATTATAATTCAATTTTATTCGATTAATTTTTCCCGGTAGTATAAATTTATAATTAATTATAAATTTATACTACTGGGAAAAATAATAGCAGAGCGGTCAGTTACTCCGGAATGAATCCTTTCGTATGGAGTTTTGGTAAATCTTCATCGTGTGTAGAATCTAACAATAAGCTCAATTTAAAAAGAGCCGGAGAGTCCATGCTGTTGTTCGGAGGCGTAAGAACGCTGCATAACAAGTGGCACATGACCGCGGCTATTTTTTGGTTGAGCGGTTTAAGAAAGTAATACTGAAGCGATTTAAAAACAGGGGCGGTGGGGTCCTCATCAAGCATGTTGCAATACTAAAAATCTGGGCTGGGCTCTGACCCGTGCTAATTTCAATGCGATTGTGGTAACGGTAGCATGTCTAAGGAAATGCTCGTGGAGGGCCCTGCAGTCATTTGTTTCTTTATCAGGCTGTATTCAATGAGAGGCAGTAGTTTCATAGAAAAATATAAATTAACCGTTTTCAATGTAATATTAGCCCCTTGAGAGGGAAGAAGTGAGAGGGAGGAGTAAAGTGAAGTGGGCACCCTTTCCTACATATGTACATGCGCGTATCAAGCCACTGATGATGGGCCGCTTCCTCTCAAACCAACTTAGCCCTTTTCCCCTTCAGGTCCGGAAAATCGGTACCAGACGATGGATAAAAATACTGAGCCTCTACAGCGGCTGGCCTTCGCCAGTTGCTGTGCGGGCCATTTGGCATTCAAAAAAAACTCACTGGACTTATTGATAGAGGTAGAATGCTACTGCGGAAAAGCAAGCATCCTGAGCAGGCAAGAGGGACCATACTTTTCAACATGGTTCATATTTTTTTGAAATGCCATCTCCGCACCACGCGATCTTGGCGCTGATATGGAACAGGAGGTAATAATCGACCTAATTTCGTGTTCTGTTAGAATGCGGCTGTGGTTGTTACTGTTCTGTGTCAGAATCCAGTGACCGCTATGAAGCGCCACCGATAACACTGAAACATTTTTCACCTTTTTTTTCTGCTCCGGCTTAGCAGACGACTTTCCTCCTTGAAAGCTCCTGTGGAGGTTATGCGCATGGTTTACGTAACAAACCAGTTTCTCTTTACTAATTACAAAGTTCGTCAAAAATTCTACTAGTGTGTATCAAGAGCAGAAAATCGCCCACGACCGCTGGGTTGGCCTTATCGGAACGACGCGTTTCATATGGTGCCCATCGCGGGAAGTTTTCCCGATTGCCATGGCTGCGGATGACCTTGAAGTTGTTACATGGGTGCAGCCTAGAGATGTTGCCAATTCATTACTGTGCACTTTCAGCTGGGTTTCCAGAGTGTTGTGTAGATGGGCATCATTCCTTTCCAGTGGCTGGCCTATACGTTGCCTAACTCCGAATAAAATAGCTCCAGCTTACAAGCGTGATACGAGCGGAACGCAACGGCATGGCAAGCGGTATCCTTCTTGAAGGCGGCGCAGGAGCGAGTTACTTGACGACGGCGGAGTGACTCTACAGAAACTTATAATGTAATAGAATAGGTCAGAAATTACCTTGACACTTATAATTAGGGGACGTTCGAGCCCTGGAAGCTTCCACAGTGCCGTAACACCTGTTTGTGGAAAGCTCAGAGAACACTCTCAAACGAGTAAAACATTTGAAATGTGTTTTGAGTTTACTGAAGCAATTTGTTCAAAATGTCGCAGGATTTTTCGCCCAACCTAAATTTGTCGCTGCTATGTACCCTAACTGCCAAAATACACGTTCTAGCATTTAGCCATTTCACTCGCCACTTCAAGTTCGTGAACTGAACTGTTCCCAATGTTGCGCTATTCTTGCCTCTTTCCAATTAAACCTTC